GAGGCAGGCAGAAGGGGAAAGTGAGGGGAAGAACAAAGGACTAGAGCCCTAAGGACTGCATGAAGCACTCAATAGCACCAAGCTGTGGCCAGACCACAGCTGCTCCAGGCTCCCAAGGAGACTACCACACATGGAATTACTAAGTGTCTGATGTGGGCAAGCAAAGGAGGCACTCAGTCTGTCTTCATGCCGCCATCTCTACAAACCATTCCATGTGTTCTTTCTAAACTCATCACCCAGGCAACTTATTCCAACAGACTCAGAGGCCTACCTTCTCGCCCTCTCAGGTGGCTGCACACCTTTAGTCCCTCACTCCCGGTCCGCTCCAACCTGCCCCTGTGTTAACACTCCACCAACCGACACCATGCTGCAAGGTCAATACAAGTGTGACTTTCTAACCGATTTTACTCAAATTCTTAGAACCTTTATCTTCAGCCATGTCCTGTCCACAGAGTCATGCCACCCAGATAGCTACAACCTGTACATATGCTAACTGGTAAAATTAAGCAGGTAACAGGCAGAATTTAGGTTGCCAATTAAACTTGCCTCAAAACAGAGAGATTTCCCCTGGATTAACCAAGTGGGCTCAGGGTACTCAAGCTGGGAATGTTTTCCAACACACCCCCAGTGCTGTAGGCAGCAAGAGGCGAAGGCATTGAAAATAACAGGATGATGGGGGAAGGCACAGAAGTCTGACAGAAGTAATGTGACAACAGATGTAAGCTCTGGGTTGCTGATCTTAGGTATAGAAATGGGGAGGCTGGGGGCAGAGCTCAGCAGCAGAACTCACAAGGCCCTAGGTTCGATCCCCAGCACTAGGCACAAGTCACAGAAGCAACCCTCAGAATGGCTCAGGTACTGAGTCTCACAAAAGGTGCGTGGCCCATCCACACCTGGCTTCTGGTGCAGCAAGAGCTATGCCGTGCTTGGCACACAGATCCTGGAAATGACTGTGCGGCTTTAAGCCACTGAATTTGTGGCAATCTACTGCAGCAGCAAACAAGAAACTGAGCTGCCTTTTTGTGCTTGTTTTTGGTTGCTCTGAGACAGGGTCTCACTATGTAGCCTTGGTTGGCAGAGATTGCTATGTAGACTAGACTAGCCCCAAACTCACAGACATCTCCCTGCCTCAACCTCCCCTCCCAAATGCTGGAATTAAAGGTATATACCACCAAGCTCATCTTTAGGTAAGGGTGGGGTGTCTCTACATAGGTCTGGCTGTCCTAGAACTCATTCTGTAGACCAGGCTGTCCTCAAACTCAAAGAGAACCACCTGCCTCTGCCTTCTGAGTGCTGGAACTGAAGGTGTGCACCACCATGCTTACACTTACTCCTTGAAACACTCAGCTTGCATCCCAACCCCTGCCTAGTTCAGCCTCCTCACTGGCTCCTCCTATGTCCCTTCTCATGTACCTTCCACACCCAGAAAACCTCACTCTGTCCACAGTTCTTAAATACAGTGGCGGCTGTGCAACAGTTATCTATCTCTAGGCACACATACCCAGGCATGTAGACAGCTGACTACTGGACATCACCACTTTGGTGTCTCTATCTGACTCTTCTTACCCTGTAAGTCTTCCTCTCACACTGCCACCAGCATCAAGCTGAGGCCACCAACCAGGGATCATTCTTGGCCTCTCCAGCTCCACCCCATGTTACACCTACTTTTCCAGTCTCCGGCCTCATATCAAGACCTCCAACATTCCGACCACGCCCTCCCTGGCCTCTCTGCTTCCCCAAAAGACATGCAGCAAACAAAGACAGTAAAAACAAACTCCATACGCCTCATGTCACTCGCTTCTTCAAAGCTCCTCTTCCAACAGTTGCCCATTATTTAAAATGGTACCAGAAGGTCTACACTGCCCACCTGACCTAGTTTATCTCCCAAAAGCACACACTGCTCCAATCAACAGGGTCTCGTCAGCTGTTCCTCAAACAAGCATATCCTTGCCTCAAGCCCCTGCTCAGGACAGTCCCTCTCTGCCAAGAATCTTCTTCCCCCAGATCCTCAAACAGCCGGCCAGAACTCTCAAGCTCATAGGACCCTTCCTACAGGCCTTGTCTAAACACACTCTCCAGACCCCAATGCTCACAACCCAGTATTCTGTCTCTGAACCTCTTCCCTTCTTGTTAACTCACAGTCTGTCAGGCACAGCCAAAAGAACAGGGGCTTGTCCATCTGATGCCTTCCGCGTCTCCAATCAGTGCCTAGTAAACAGCAGTACCTCAAAAAACATTACTGAATGTATAAATAATGATATGACTAAAACATTAACAAGCAATCGGTAAACACTATATTGTGACTAGCTGTTGAGAAAAGCCTAACATAGAACACAGGAACACCAGGTCACAAAACTGCATGTGTAACAGGTGCACTCTGGTTAATACATAACATATGCACACACAGAAAAGGTCCTCAATGCGTGCATCAGGAAGTAGGGAAGAGAAATCTCCTTTCTGAGGCCTCCAGTTTTAACCTGGCAAGCAGTCCTTTTCAAAGAGGCTCTTGAATTTTTACTTCATCCTCCCACCCTCCCGCCTTCTCTAACTGGGAGGCCTAATGCACAGAAGTGAGCCTGTCTCAGGCCTTTGTCCCTCCTAAGAACCTCCTGGTACCTGGAGTTAGATGTACACGTAACTCCTCTACTTCAAGTTTTCCAAGGGTAGCTCTCATGGATCTGTTGGTTGCTGCCGGGAGCTTTAGTGTGCCAGGCAATCTAATTCAGGGTCAAGTTAGAGTAACCCCTAGAACAGCAACTTAGCAACCAATGCAGATGGATCCTCATTCATTTATTCAATGAGTGGTTACAAGGTAAGCGTATAAGGTCCATCCATGAGCACAGCAAATAGTCCTTGCCCACCTAGAACTCCCCGCCCAGCAAAAGTAGAATCCAGAGTTAAAAGATGTAAGCTGGATCTGGAGAGGCGGCGCAGTGGTTAAGAGCACTGGCTGCTCTTGCACAGGACCCAGGTTTGTTTCACAGAACTCATAGCTATCTGTAACTCCAGTTCCAGGGGGTCTGATGGCCTCCTTTGGCCTCCATGGGCACTCGGCACACACACAATGCATACCTAGCAAAACACTCATGACATAAAATAAAAATGAATCTTTTTTTTTTAGATGTAAATGGTATAGGATATTAGATAATGGCAGATGCTAATTCAGAACACTTAAGTCTCACTATCCTCATTTATGAAATAAAAACACACAGCAGGTTCTCCGAATTGCTTGAAGAATGGACTATTAAAAACTTACTGGAAGTTATCTTACTATAAAAAATTTGGTTAATAATAATTAACATTTAACAGAAATGACTTAATCTTAAATAACAAGAGTTAAAAAGCCTAAATTTTGTTCAATGGCTTAAAAAATAAAACTGTAGCTTTCACATTAGAAAGAGTCCTCTGACACAGGAAAGGGGGGTCTGTCACCAGCGGCTAAGGGGCGTCAGGGAACATGGCAAATGGTGTGTCCTCAACCTTCCAGATCCTGCTTCATTTCAAGCTATCTAATGCACTCTTAGACATGGGAAGCACGTAGCATATTCCTCTTCTTTCCGCTTTTTCTTAACTTTGATAAGGACAGGTGTAGGCAGACACTGTAGTCTCGCCTCCTAGTAGCCCAGACAGGTGTGCTGGACACGCCCTCGAGGGCGTGGTGAGGGGGAAGTCTAAGGTGACTCGGGAACGGTTCTTAAGGGACCGCACACACGTGGAGAGTCCCTTCGCTTCTCTCTGGCCTGGCTACCTTGCTGCCCCTGGCACGCTTTGGCTTACACTTGGCTGGTGTTTATCTGAATAAAGAAACCTTAGCCTTAGGGACTGTAGTTCGATCTCTTCACTTGGCGCCCAACGTGGGGCTCGAACCCACGACCCTGAGATTAAGAGTCTCGTGCTCTACTGACTGAGCTAGCCGCTGGAAGTCAAAGGACACTGCATGGGCAGATACTTAAAGTAGCTATAACCATCAAACAAAAGGAACATGCCATACGGTAAACTTTACAGCTGTCTCTAAACTCCAGTTCTCTTCATTTCCTAGTCCCTATTCAATTAAATCGATGCTGGATTTAGAGTTGGATTTGGCTTTCCTCCCCTAAAATCCAAGCATGTTATTTAACTAAATTTTAAAGTTTCTGTGTTATATCAAAGGCCAATTGATGTAATACAAAATAAATGAAGAATTTGAGGACTATCTTTTTGTCTTGGCTCTTTCTTTCATGGCCCACACCCTCTCATAATTGTTGTTTTTCAACGGTTGCCTTTCCCAGTACACACACATGTGCAAGCAAACATTTCTCTAATGACACTTATGTTTGAGTCCCATACAGCCAATGAAGACCTGCCTGACGGCAATCCATGCATGCTCCGGAAAAAAAATTGGGCCACACCTCTCCGGCTGCACTGGATTCAACTCACTGCGTTTCGACTGATACTCTGACCAGAGCCTCGAGTACTGGCTTCAATCAAGTTGAGGATTTCAACCTAGATCTTCAATCAAGCAAATCCCATCTAACATGGACTGGAGATAACCCATTAGAGACTTTCCCTGTGCTAACATTTTTTTCCGCAGGACTCCACAAGGCTACCATCGTCCCATTTCAGCAGGAAGTAACTTAGAAGATGCTACGCCCCCGTTCCCCATTATTGTTTATTAGGGTAGTGTAAGCCTAGTTAGGAATAGCTTTCTTACAGTTTAGAGTTGGGATTGGAAGGAGGTGTTCAACTTAAACACCCTTTCCACATGACTTTAGGGCTCATCCGGAAGACATAGTTAGGATGTGCAATAACAGATTGTATCTTCTTGTATTTCACCTTTATGATTGTTAATTTTGGATGTTTTACACTATTAAGTTTTAATCCTCTTTTAGACTAAAAGGGGAATTGTAGGGAGACACTGTAGCCTCGCCTCCTAGTAGCCCCGACAGGTGTGCTGGACACGCCCTCGAGGGCGTGGTGAGGGCGAAGTCTAAACTGCAGCCTCGCCTCCTAGTAGCCCCGACAGGTGTGCTGGACACGCCCTTGAGGGCGTGGTGAGGGCGAAGTCTAAGGTTCTTACGTGGAGAGTCCCTTCGCTTCTCTCTGGCCTGGCTGCCTTGCTGCCCCTGGCACGCTTTGGCTTGCACTTGGCTGGTGTTTATCTGAAACCTTAGCCTTACGGACTGCGGATCGATCTCTTCAGACAGGTATATGTATGTGCTTTTCCTCCTCTGGCTATTTCCTGACCTGAAGTTCCTCACCTGAAGGACTGGCAGACCTTGGTCATCTCACAAGGCTGACAGTTCTCCCCATCTTCCCCTCTTCTCCTCAAACATAAATTGCAAGCGCTTGGAATTTTGTCTTTATTTCAGTTCTACATCTCTCGTGGGATCCAACAGAGACCCATTTAAGTCCAGAGCCTTGAGCATGCCTTCCATCTAGAGAAAACCCCCACACTCATCTCACTCTGACCCACCACAGCCACACAGTGGTTTGCTGTTTGTTTCCTTTTTCTGGAGACGAGGTCTCGCGCATCCCTGGCCCCAAACTTTCCTTAGCTGAAGATGATCTCGGACTTCTCAGTCTCCTGCTTTTATTACCAAGGACTGGCATTAAAGGCACCAGCCATCACATCCTGATTATGTGGTACTGGCAACAAACCCAGGGCCTTGTTCATGCCAGGCAAACACTGTTAGCAACTGAGCTCGCCCCAGGCCCCAGCTTTACTCTCTGAGCTGCTAACCCTCATAGGTTCTGGCTCTCTAGGGGCACCAGCACTGGGAAACTTGAGTTGTGTGTTAGAACGTTTAAAAAACCTCAGCAGGGTTTCATAGTTAGGAAGCACCTGGTGGGCTGGTGGTGGGGAGGCAGATTGTAAGGTAGGCTATGCATTTGGTTTCAGAGTCTGCTGCCTTCAGCCTCTTGGGCCACACAGAGATCCAAGAGTAGAAAAGAAGACTATCCTTCATGCTACCCCACAAAAGCTGTCAAAGTTTAAGTTTTTAAAATGACATTCGATATCATCTCTGTGCTTACTAAAGTAAAAAAAGACTCTAGGAAGCTTCATCATAGCCAAAGTTGCCCAAAATAACCCTGAGTGGGGCGGGAACAGCAGCCCTGGAACGACAGTCAAGTCACACGGATTACAACTCACTTCTAGATTGCACATTGTCACCTGAAAACACAACAGACGCAACCAGGTGCCACACAAGCGCAGAAACAGACACTCCATGCAGCTGAAGCATGCCAGCCTCTCCAGGCAGCCTTCCCTCTCCACCTCAGTGCACTGGTGCAGCTTTCTTCTCCTCTGTGAAATCACCAGCATCCAGAGTCACCCAGCTACTGAAAAGCATGGGTATTTTATCCCACTTTGCACAACATTGTTTTAAACTGCACCTGAACATTCTTCAGCCTTCTCCAAACTGGATTTGTACACTAATGTTCCTTAGTCTCCAGCAACAGTCCAGTAAGTTATGACCTGCATCAGAGGACAAGCTTCCCGAGTTTCATCTCTAATGCTAAACAGGTACAGAAATTTAGAGGTAAGACCAAGAACTTATGAGCCTGCCCCCTCTTATGTGTTCTCATTCCACAAGGCCAGAGGCTTGTAGGGTGATGAAAACATTCTGGAATTTGGAAGTGGGGGTTACTGCACAATTTTGTCATATTTAAAATCACTAAACTGCACAGTTCACAAACAGAATCAAGAAATGATTAACAGTAAAAACAAAATCACAATTACAATGCAACAGCAGAGCTGGGCTCTAGCTTCCCCAACCATCCCACACTCCAACTCTGAAAACAATAACCTTTTAATACCAATCTTTGAGGTCACTGGACACCATCACCTCCACCCGGAGGAGGCTGAGCAGACCAATGTCTCACGAAACACACCTGATAGGAACAGAGCCAACACTAGAATGCCCTCCTGCTCCAGCTCTGCATCTGCACTGAGTCTCTCAGTTCAGACTCTGTGAAACGATTATCAGGGGTCTATGAAATGTTTTGAAATGCTTCATATCTTAATTTATCATCTGAAACAGTAACACCAATTACAAACATATTTTAACACAAAAAGTCATTGTTCAAGTCTGTAGTTTGTGATTATATTTGCCTTGGCACCCAAGAGTGTCATTTAAATTCTTGTTGGGCTAATGAGAAAAATCACAGAAGTGAATTTAACACTAAATGATGTATTTGTACCAGGGCCTAATGGACTTACAGAAATTCTGTGCAAAAAAACCCAAACAAACAAACAAACAAAAACAAAACAATAGTTTATCAAGAGACAGTTTTGTTTGGGCAAAGCGTCATCCATCCCACCCACCAGCACTACTCGCATAAATTCCATTGGTTATGAAGTGCCTTTGGCCTCTCTTGCCTGCCCTGCTCACCTTGTCCACTTGAGCTCTGCAGATGGGAGCCTACAGACTTAACACAGTCTGCTCTCTCACATTGTCAAGGAAATGTTGGGTTTAATCTGACATGTGATGCTGTATGCCGTGTGCTCTGCCCCTGCTGCTCACATCTACATTCCATGTTTTTGTTAAACCAGAGCAGCCCACCTCAACTCGGAACACCAGTACTTCATGTCACAAAGCTACCCAAGACAAAATCTTCAAGGCTAACTTCCCGGTCCACAAAGCCAGCATATCTCCATGGCCTTCACGACTAGAGTACTGTGTGTTCCAGTTGAGCTCACACTTGGGAAGTTTCAGAGTCTTAAATGTCTCCCAAAACTGGTTTCAAACTTCAGAGCTAACATTACATAATAGGCCAGCAAAGCCAATCACTGAAAACTGCAGCCCTAAAACTGTAGCTTTTAAAAATATGCAAAGAAAAAATTAAAAATACAAAAGTACTGAAAAATATATGCCTACACACAAAAAGATTATGGAAATTTTAAAAGTTTAAGGCAGTTTGTATTTAACAGTATAAATGAAATAGAATAATTCCCACGGTCATACGGTCCATTAAAAAAAAAAAAAAAAAAAAAACTAAATACAAAAAGCCAGGAAAGGTGTTCACGATTTCATAGGGTCTCCTCTTAGGAAAACATCAGACGTGTATTCAGGGTTTCTCTGGCTGCCAGCAGCTTCGAATGTGGCAAGTGTAGCTGCACTGCTTGCTTGTAACACAGAAACTGTTTTTAGCACTAAAATGCACTTCAGGGGCTAGAGAGCTGGCTGAGTAGTTTAGATCACTTACTGCTCTTGCAGAGAGTGGACTTGGGGTGGATTCCCAGCACCACATGGTGGCTCACAAACATACTTAAATCCAGATCCAGGGCCTTCTCTGGCCTCCTCTGGGACCAAGGACACACACATGGTACACATGCATACATACATATATACATACATACATACATGCAGGCAAAACACTAATACATATAAATCTTTTTAAAAAATTCATCTTTCACAGAAAACCCTGAGGCTGACATCAATATGTGACTGATGCCACTTTAAGAATTGAGTCAGAACAAAGAGGAACCACTTGCTTACTCGGGAAGAAACAGAATGTCACGAGTTCACCAGCAGCAGCATGGGCGAGTGAGTGAACACTTCACTACAAAAGGCTGTCGGTGCTGCCAGAGTCTATCTTCGGGAGAATGCCATCTGAGACCTGGCTCCAAGATTCAGGGACGCAGCAGTCAGTTGTGTTTCAAGCCAATAGTTAAGTGATGACTAAACAAAAGAAATTCCACACTAGACAACATGCCCAGAGTACTACCAAGCAGCAATTATGAAGCAGTCATTTGCCATCAGAAACTTGCATTAGCACAATTATTCCTGGCTCTGGGCTTCAAAACTATTAACTCAGAATGCAGAACCCTTGTAACAGTTCATCTAATAAAACACCAACTACCACAGGTTGATTTCCAGTGACGTGCACTCTCCAGCTGGTCAAGGTGGGGCATGCCTGTCATCCAAACATATCCCAATCCTGAGCAGGAGGCCCATGAGTTAAAAGTCAGCCCGGGCTACTAGGTAGTCCCTCTCTATGTAGAGTAATAAAGAATGTGCTATGCTCCTTGCATCCTGGCAACATGTTACACACAGGCAGTTTCTACTTCCCATTCATTACTCATCATCAAGAGATGAAACATCCATATGATGGCACATGCCCGTAAATCAGGAGGCCGAGGCAGGGGGACTGACATGTGGAGCCAGCCTGCACCACACAGCCAAGCACCAGGTCAGACACGGTTGCACTGCAAGACTCTGTCTCAAAAGAGGGAGCCAATAAGATGACTCAGCAAGTAAAAGCACTTTGCCACAAAGCCTAGCAGCCTGAGTTTGGTCCCCAGAATCTGCCCAGTGAACGCAGAGAACTGTTTCCTCAAGCAGTCCTCCATCCTCCACAGATGTGCACACATCAACACACACGCTGACATAAACAGATGGAACTTTAAGTGTATTTAAAGAATGAAGGCATGGAGAGATGGCTCTGCCCACAAAATGCTTGCCACATTCAGCATGAGGACCTGAGGTCAGCCCTTCAGCACACACATCAAAAGATGGCACGGTTGCACACACCTGTAATCCTAACACTGGGAAGGAAGAGACAAGGAACCCTGGAATTTGGTGGCCAGCTAGTCTTTCAAGTTGGTGAACTTCAGGTTTAGGGAGAGACTCTGTCTCAAAAAGTAATATGGAGAGAAAAAGAGGAAGACACTGGATATGTGTCTGGCCTCCACACACAGACACATACGTGTGTGCACAAATAGCATACATGCATATACACACAAATATGTAGTATGTACATACATCACACACACTAAAGCAAAACTATTTCCATAAAGAAATGGATGGAACTAAAGTAAAATCACTATGCAAGAAACTATATACTTAAGAAGGGAAGTTAATTTAAAAAGTCAAATAGTTCTATACATCAAAAACATTACAAATCACAGAATAACTGCTAGATCTTGAAAGAGAGTTCAATTGTAAATGCCATCACCTGTAATCCCTACACTTGGGACATTGAGGCAGGATAGAATTCAAGATGCGGAGTTCAAGACCAGCCTGAGATATATGACATCTTATGTCAAAAACAAGAAGGGGCAGGGGACACTGAGAAGGGAAGGTGGAAGAAGGGTAGTAGTAGTACTACTACTAATAATAGTAATAATAATAGTAATAATAATAATAATTATAATAGTAGTATAGTAACAGTTCTTCTGGACAGAGCGCCTGCAGGGCTTGTGCTCCCCAGCCACTTATTCCCAGTTGGAGGACTAAAAGCACCACCAGCATCTCCATGCATCACACTTCCTGTCTATACTAGGAAGCTAATCAAATAGCCTACCTCACAGGGTTAATTCAAGGGCTAAGTAAGAATATTCATGAAGAGGAACCCACAGGGCCTACCCTACAATCAGCTGGTCTCCATGGTTGCTACTGCAGTCATCAGCACTGCTCCCTGTGAGGCCTCAGGCCTCAGAAGCACCGTACCTCCCCAAGAAAGCACAGTCTAAAGTTGATCTGCTTCTAGACACACACTCTATTTCTTCTCAGTTGCAAATAACATTTAAAAAGGAAAGGAATCTATACAACCCAATAGATTAAGAAAAGTTAAAATAAGCTGGGGTGGTGCACACATGTTTAATCCCAGCACTCTGGAGGCAGAAGCAGTCAGCTCTCTCACTCTAGGCCAGCCTTTCTACAAAGTTCCAGACTCTGTCTCAGAAAACAACAAGATACAGTTAAAATACAAGTGGCTAAACTAAGACAAAAATCACCTCATCAAAGCCTTCCTCTTGTAACTCCCAGCTTTATCAAACACTGGGTCATGAACCAATAATACTAACCCTCTACTCACTCTTCCAACTCAAAGCTACGTTAGAGAAGGGTCTGCTGCCCACACTCATGTTTGGTTTGAGGTCTTACACTGGACAGGCAAGACAGGTAATAGGATGCATTTCAGTGGCATCGCTCCTGGCTTGGTCATCTCCCCAACACTTCCTAGGGATAAGTAAGCAACCGAAGAAGGCAAGTTCTAGGGACTGGGAAATGAACCCGTCAGGAAACCGCTTGCCACACATGCATATGAACTCCAGTTTGAACCCTAGATCCCACCTGAAAAGGCTCTCTGTGCCAGTAAGGTGGCTCAGCAGTTAAAGGAGCCTGCCACCAAGTCTATCAACTTGAACTCAATCCCTAGAACCCACACAGTAGAAGAAAACTGATATCCAAAAGTTGTCCTCTGATTTCCATTTAGGCACTGTAGCATGTGTGCACAAAACAAAGACACACAACAATAAGTACATGAAGTAATAAAATAAAAGCTAGGCTTGGTCAGTGGGAGCTTGCAATCCCTGTGGGGGGAGGAGGGGACAGGACAGGACTCACCAACAACCAAACTACCCTATCTGGCAAACTTCAAGCCAGTAAGGAAGGAACCCTGTCTCGAAAATCAGGATGGGTAATGACTAAAGAGCCACACCTGAGGCTGACCACTGGCCTCCACCTGGACTCACGCGCGTACACACACGCACACTCACACACACGAAATGAAGTCTAAGAAATGGCACGAGGAGGAAACAATCTCTACAAACCAAGATCACCGCCATGACTCAATCACTCAGCCCTTCCTACCTGCACTGCCTATCTCTAAAAGGAAAGCCCGCTCACCTCACAGTGGTCCAAGACTTAGACATAATTGGGGTCAGTGCCCGACAAGTGCAGGTGCTGAGTAAAACAGCAGCACCTGAGGGAAACGGTTTTCTCTCCCTGTGGCAACACCACATATGAAGCTGGATTTTCTCAACACGAAGGGTTAAAAGCAAGTCTGAGTAAAGGAACTTCTCAGAAGTACAGATGAGTCAGTCTGAACACAGGAATTGAGCTGTGAAGAGGGGGCAGAAGAAGGAGGTGGCTGGGGGAGGCAGCTGCCATTCCTCAGGCAGCTCTGGAGCCCGTCCTGCTTTGCACAGGCTGTGCAGAGTGAGACGGGAACACAACTACACCGCACACCTCTTCCAGGAAGGGGGATCTTAAGAAATGTAATTTTTGTACAAAAAGCTTCTCAACAGGCCGACTACTTCACATGCTTCCCGCCAGAACACAGCCATCCAGTCCACTCTGGAAAGAAAATGGGCTCTTAACCACGCCGCTGCCGATACTTCACTCCACAGGGATCTCATGCACAGGCGAAATTGCACAGGACTTCCTCTCCTGGGGACACAAAGGCCCAGCGAAAGGTACATCCATCCAACACCATGAAGATGGCAGGAGGAAGAGTTCAGAAAATGCCCACACAGCCAAACCAAGGAAGCGAGCCTACATGACCACAATGGCTTCTTCCTCCCTGTGGCCCAAGCCAGTGTTATTACATCAGGGGCAGGTGTGGGTCACCACAGGCATCAGAATTAAAGCTCCCATCTAAGACGCCCAGCGTCGCACTAAGCACTCCTCCAGTTCTTCCAAAGCCAAGAAACAAAGAACAATCCCCATGCAGAACTGCAGGCCAATCTTTCTACCCGTTTTTCCTCAGAGCTTGTATCAGTTTTGAACTGATAAATCACTGAAATGACAGCTCTTTTGAGAGGGCACCACCAAGCTGCCCATCAGCTGTGCTGCCTCCTCCTCACACCTTCAGCAACACACTCAGATCCATGCTTGCTGCTGCAGCAACACCTGCGCAGAACAATGTACCTTTCCTCCTCTAGACCTGCAGTTTCATATTTCAGTTGTCTGAAAGAGGGTCAGCAACGGCAACCCACAGCACGGGAAACAACAGCAACTCCTCGATATTTTGAATCACACCCTCTATAAACACCGCTGCACATGGGGGCTCATGCTTGTGGTACCTGCATTTGGAAGGCTAAGGCGGGAGGACTGAGAGCTCAGGCCAGCCTGGCCTACATATCAAGACCTAGTCATGCACACAAACACAAAGTCCCCAACTGGTGTTTTATAACAAAGCTATTGTTAGAAAGTGCAGCATGTAAATAATTTAGACTTTGAAGCAAATAAATACTTGAAAGTTCCACGGCAAAGTTCCTGACCTAGCCACAGTCACTCTCAGACTTGTGAACATGCTACCATAGCCTCTAACTTCACTAAACCACACTGACAGTGTCTATTACTTATGAAATATAACTAGAGAGCATGCTTTGTGTTTATATGTTTTGTGACAATTGTAAACTAGAGCTAAAGCATAAAAACATGGTATCAAATCTATGTCTCAGAGCATCAGGAAACATTGAGTTTCTGTTTAATTCCTAAACTAGTAGCGAATTCCTACAAAGCTTCAAAAGTCTCCTGTACTGTTGACAAGAGAAGACAGTCCAGGACTAAGAAAAACTTTCAACACAGTCTAAAATATATGAAATCCTTAATAAGTAAAACCAGAGGCTAGAACCAGAGGTGTCTAAGCTAATGCTGGCCATGGTAGAACTGCTCTCTCTGCAGAGCAAGGACCACCCATGCACGTGAGGAAAACAGACACTTCAAAAGATCCACTTAGCTGAGACAAAGCCACGAAGCTTAAGATTCTAGTGAGTCTTTAAAACAAAACTGCAGCTTGTGAAGAAATTCATCCACACAGCTTCCCACCACTCAAAACAAGAGTCAAGATGAAGCCTCAACAGACATTACTGTTCCTTCTCATACGCTGTCATTCAGGAGGAAGGAGCTGCACTTTAAGCTAACCTAATAGTCAACAGTGAACCAACAACACAAATGGACTTATGCTAGTGTAGAAGTAACTAGTAACCCAGTCACATGGGTCACAAACACACCCAGCTCTCAACCACCGCAGTAACGAAATGTCACCTTAAACTGAAATGGATAATACCCGATTTCTACCACCACTAAAGGCTATTGTCCTACCTTAAATACCCAGATTTCAAATGAAAACTTTAGACAGCAAAACAACACACTACTAAGATTCCCAAATTAAAATTTAGCTAAGTCTAAGGTTTGCCTAAGAAGACAAACTTTCCTTCTATCTACTCCATCAATCTACTCTTTACCTGGATGTCAAAACATGACCTACAATCTGGCCTGCAGTCCTAACAGAAATTCCTATTTCTAAGGTGAAGCAGTCAATATCTGAAATAAGTTTTCTCTCTTCACCAAAGGACTATAATCCTGTCCCTAACTCTACAGACTTGGAATTTCCAGAACACCTTACTGGGAAGCACTGGAACTGTAGTCATTCACTTGTGACAACACAGAACTCATGCTGACCTGAGATGCAGGTAGATCAAACACCAAATGCAAGATGCCAGGAGCAAGAAAACACAGCACACACTCAAGCTGCTTTAGTGAAGTCATGTGCACAGTTCATAGCTCTTAGCACAAGCCAAGCACACCAGAGACAGGTCAAGACACAAGCTAGTTTGTGTCAACTCAAGACTAAGTCAACCAGGCAATGGTGGCGCACGCCTTTAGTCCTAGCATTCAGAAGGCAGAGGCAGACAGATCTCTAAGTTTGAGGCCAGCCTGGTCTACACAGTTAGTTCCAGGACAGCCAAGGCTACACACAGAGAAACCTGTCTTTAAAAAAAAAAAAAAAAAAAAAGAATTCTTTTCATCAACAATTTCCTTGTTCAATCTGCTGAATGTAAAGCTAATATAAAGCAGCTCTACAGAAAACACCCTCAAGAGTTCCCCCGTAAGCTGATATACCCATAAGAACTGAAGTGTGCCTACCTCATTAGTGTTCCAGCGGTGCCTCTCTTTGGGTAAACTTGAACATTTCGGGAGACATTCAAGCAGCTTTTTCGGTAAAAAGATTTTTACATGACTACTATTGCTGTTCCCATGATCATCTATAAAGAAGAAAACAATAAATTCAGAGAATGAAAGAGAAAGCCTCTTTAAGAATACTGACAATGTCAGAAACAGCAGTTCTGTTTCTCATGGCTGAGCCCAAGAGCCTCAGGAGCCTCTATTCCTCCTAGATCACTCTCGAATGGTGGCAGCAGGGATCTGCCTGGGGGGCTCTGAAACAGACTGAGCTTTACTCCACCACAAGTGAGCAAACAAGTGCCCCAGAGCCACTCAAAATCAGAATGCTACTTTAAAGGCTCTTTCAGTATGCCCAAGAAACATTGAAATTACAAAATGCTTTAACCTCACGAAACCCAGAAACTGTTTATTAACCAATTAAAAGTTTCATGGTTTTAAGTGAGAGAAATAGAATGACATGTGACTTTTATTCATAAACTATTACTCTGTCCCCTAAAATACCAATGAGATTCATCCTTTCTAAAGGAAACCACAAACTCTTCTAAGGAATCTAAGCCTGTGATTCACAGGTAGTACAGAAGCTGGCCTTTCTAGGCTACACCTAAAAATCTATCAATTTAATTAAGTTGATTTTCATGTATATATCTGCAGAATTAATGTAGTTCATCATATGTAGCTCCTTCTAAATGAGTCAGAGATTTCATTACTTTCAGACTAGACAGCAAGTGTGACTACCGGTGCTTTGTAGATCATTTCTTTATATAGCATTTATTCCCATCATTTATTTACATATTGTTTACTTTTCCAATCCTGTAAAGCAATCCCTTTCCCTGCTCTAAATTCCTTGCCATTTGTGGCAAATTTCAGTCAGAGTTTCAAATTACCCACTCCAATTTGTCATTCTGAATGAAGTCCCCAGTCTACACCTGAGTCCTGGGGACAGCTCGTTACTAAGTTAGACTCCAGCTGCTCCAGTCACAGGCTCATCAGCTTTTACAGTATCAGTAAGACAATACAAACACCCACCAGGGAGTCACGGCCCACACCTGTACAGGTTCTGCTTTTCTGCCTGTGTGACCTTGGGTAAGTTACTTAGTGTTTCCAGTTTTCCCACATCATGAATCAGAGAATTAGGGATCATTTCACTCTCCCTCGAGTACAAATTTCTATAAAATTTAAGGTCCTTCAACAACAGCATGCCTTACATGCCAGCAGCCTTACAGGGGTCTACAGGTACTGCTTGACTATAAAGTGAAATACAGCAATTACTTGTCCAGTTATGTCTGTACTTCTATTTAATACTGTCTTCAGAAAATACATAAAACAAAACCAAAACTTTTCTAAGGTCATAAAATTCTCACCCAGACACTTCTCAACTGATTAACATGTTTCTTCTTCTCATGGAAAAGGTCAGAAGTAAATATTGGGCACAAAAATGTGAGAATATCTACCACATCGTACAGAATGTTTTATAGGGATTAGCTTGAGAGTCTTAGCCTACTAACTCTTTTTTGGTTCACGAACTACACAGCCAATTGAATTCTAACACAATCCTACAGCAGTGAAAAAAACTTATGGCACTGCTCTTAGGAGAGCTAAAATTATAAGTTAATACTAAATTAAGATTACACTTAAAATATTGCTCAAAATCAAAAGGAAATCAACTAAGAAAAAGCTGGTAGGACGTTGTTATGAACTGCTTACTATGAAGCCTTTATAGTCACATGTGCTCCCTGCATGTCATCCTCCAGGGAGTAACATGGGCCATAAAACTTTAAAGCACAGAAGACACAGTCATGTGAGCTTTTACCTTCCTGTTTTCTACCCCTAATGTGGCTTTATTCTCTCTTAAAAAAAAAAAAAATATGTGACATACACAATTGTGAAAGTAGAGGTGAAATTTGAAAATCTATACTCTATTCAATATATATGGAGTATCTTTTATGAAAGGAGCACTGGGCTAGTACTCAGTTGATGCAGAGTACGCCTTGTATGTGAACAGTCATCTTCCTGAGAAAGTTATTTACAGCAGAACAGAATATTAAACCTAGTTTCTATTTCCATTTGGGTCACAACCAATGCTAAATTTCTATCCCTTTAGCCTCTTTAAGAAACCTGGGTGCCAGCAGGGGGGAGGGGAGAGGAGGGCATATAAATGTATGCGAATGTGAGGGAGTGTTGAACATGGATAAAGGAAAGAGTGTTCAGTGTGCACGGGTTTGTGTGAGAGAATGCTGTGTGGTGTGTGTTTGTGTTGGTGTGTGGTTCTCTCTGTGTGTGTGTGTGTGTGTGTGTGTGTGTGTGTGTGTGTGTGTGTGTGTGTGTTAGAGAGCATTTGTGTATTTGAGAGTTTGTGTACATTTGTGTTCTTGTTCTCAATGCCCCTGCTTGAGGAACAGCTTCAGGCTTCCGCTCTGTCAGCAGCTGAGACAGTGGTGAGTGGACCCAAAGGCAATATTTATAGAAGCAAGTATAGTGCTGTGATCACTGTTTCAATCAAGTTCCCACCACAGCTCTCTATAGCATGTGCAGCCAGGTTTCAAGGGGCTACGGACCAGCAGGTCCCCCTTGTTCTAGGTTCATGCTCAACTAAGCCAGGTGCTCTTAGGAACCATATGATGGGGAGATGCCGCTCTCCCAGCTTAGGAAGAAGCAAGTTCAATACTGGACAGAGTCAGAACCCAGAAAGGAAAATGCTAAACTCATACTTCACTCTTCTGGGTTCGCACAGTGCTAGACTGATCACCTAGAAGCACATGGTCTTAGATTCAGTTTCCAGCACCAAGGGAAAATAATTCAACTTCAGTGTTTCTGTTAAAATATGGCAATAAAACACTTTGTTTTTATATTGGAAAAGAACTGTTCACATAGTGATACTGCATAAAATGTGTTTTTAATTAAAAGCTACTGTTTAATGTTTTTAGAATAGCTGTAAAATGATTAAATAACTGAACATATGTGTCAGTTTTAAAATGTCAGTAACAGCATCTTAACAATAAAACTAAGGTATAAACTGGTTTCAACTGTACCTCCATATTCAACCTAAACAGTTAAACTTTGACACTGCAAAGTGGGAATGTCAACTAAATGACAGGCAAGCATTTCATTATCGCTATCTAGCAAAATGCATGATACATGACTTCACAATATAATTTCCTAACCTACTTCACAATAAAAACGTAACTGGCGGGGCTCTTGAAATTGACAGATGATGTGCTGGGCTGACAGCTATAATTCTAGAGAATGAACCATCCTTTCTAGGCAACCTTCAAATATTTTCTAAATGATAATTTTAGAGTCATAGTGTAATTTAGTTAAATCTTTCTAAAATGTACAAAAATGTTCACTCAGCTAACTGAATTCTAACCCTCAGGGTTTTTTTTGTTTTGTTTTGTTTTGTTTTCTAAAATTGAGATTCACATTGCTAAATCTTTGATTCAACCCAAAGCAATGCATTTCGTCTGTTTCTGGGGTGCCCAGATTTCTGCAAGCTGAGTCCTAAGTGTAGTAACTAGACTAGCCTGGTAAGGATACCTCCACTGTCTTTCTTTCTGTTTACAATAGGGGCCTACGAACAATGAGATCTTTACTCAGGTGAGGTGATGGTGACTGGTCAGACTCTGGACCTCTAGAATGAACACTGCACATGCTTTACTGCAGCAGCAAGTCCAACTGCTAATCTTACAGGGGCATGTGATCAACAGCGTGGAGGAAAAATTAAAAGGAAGCGCCACACGTTTTTGTTTGGCTCTAATTATCATGTGCTTAGATTTAATTAGGGGGATCAGAACTGACTCAGGGAAACAGGCACACTCTTTCCTTCCAGGGAGCACAGCACTCACAGCTATGTGCTGCCATGACTAACCTAAGACCTTCCAATTCCTGTCCTCCAGACAAAAAAGTGACTAAGAACCCACTGTGCAGAGCACTGTCAGAGCAGGGGCTGTTGCCTTCCAGTCTAAGGAGGAAATGAAACCCAACTGTAATTCTCCAGAAAGAGGTTTAGTGATTTAAAAAGTTAATAATTTTAAGCAGCAAAGCCTGACTAGTTTTGTTATTTAACAACCTCTCTTTCCTCTCACCGTGGAGTTGTACTAAGCACCACTCTCACCCTTCCTAGTCTTAGGTGGCCAGGAATTACTGTTTTCTTCTCAATTGTGTTACTGCATCCCTGGTCCAGGTTTAAGGTTCTTAAACTCCTATTCATCCCACAATGACCTTTTCTTCTCAATTGTGTTACTGCATCCCTGGTCCAGGTTTAAGGTTCTTCAGAACCCAGGTTCTGTAAACTCCTATTCATCCCACAATGACATTTCAATATAAAATAAGGGGTAAGAACAGACAAAGCAGAGGCACCAAAGCCTTGCCCTGCACCACACCTAAGCTGTGGGCCTCCTCCTGTACCTTATTTCACTCAACTCCAGCTTTAGCAACAGGTGATCAGGTTTCTATTACTGAATAGGAATAGACACCAGGTACCCAGACAGGACTTTATGCTAGGCTCTCTTGTTTAGTCCTCATGAGAAAATGTGATGTCTTAGTCACCCTCCACTCTGCAGATAAAGAACTCGAGGGTTCAGACTTACTTGGCCAAAATTCACTGTTACAAGTAGTTCAAATGGGATTCAAAAATAGTCTTTGGCTCCTACACAACCCCACTCGTCCTACTCTAGGCCAGATGCAGTACTGGACTCCAGTTACAGAGTGCTGTATTAATACCAACATTTGCAGGGACTGTGGCCTTTCTGTGTGGCTGCCTCCACTGCTTTAAATCCTCCCAGAAAGCTCTTGAGGACAGCACTGTTTGTGTTGCCTAAAAGGATTAAGTAACTCATCTAAGATCACACAGCAGCAGAAGGCAGAAGCCAGGTCTCCTAAGTCCTGGTCAAGGTTTGTCTTCACCGCACTGGGGAAGGAAGGAGTTACTCTGGCTGTCAAGCCCACCCATTCTTGGAAGTCAAAAGCTTTTCAAATCCTACCTTCTATAGGTGGCACGGTGTTGAGAACACAGTAGGTGCTAGTTCCGCAGAATACACTTTGGGAAACGCTCTAAGGAAACAGAAAATAAAATGTAAAACTAATCTTTGAAAGAAACATATTCTGGCTCTTCTGTGATATTCCTGCCAAAGATGCAAAACCTGAATCTAACCACGAGGAAACATCAGATAAATACAAACATGAGCATCCCATAAGATCACTGCATGGGACCTTTCATGTCTAGGTAAGAAAGACTGAGAGCCACTTAGAGCCATCTGTGGCCACGGAGAATGAAGAGGCTACTGAACATTCACCAGGGTTCTGACTGAATTATTTTTAACAATATTCAAAAGTGAAATGGGATTTGGGGATTGGATGTTAGAAATGTCCCAATGCTAACTTCCAGGTTGTGACTACTGTAGTTAGGGAAGAAGCATTCTTGTTTGTGAGACATAAATAATACAGCATTTAAGAGTGGCGAAGACATTGGCATATGACCTACAAACAGTTCAGAGGTAACAGTGCTTTGCACTGCAGGCTTAAGAGCACTTCCAAATTTAAGACACACGTGGAAACATGAGAACATGTACTACCAGTGTGGTCTTTATTAGAGTACACATGTGCTGTGCACAGAATGAGCACATAAGAAGCAACATCCCAAGCTTCCTCATCTGCTCAACCTTATTGAGTCAGTCTCAACATTATTAACGCCGCCCAGCAGCACACCCAACACCTCCCTCACACAAAAGACTCAGCAGAGTGGCAAACAGCATTATGTAGAAGAACAGGAAGAGGAGGTCAGAAGACATGGGCTCTGCTCTTAAGTTATTTCATGCAAAGAAATCTCAAGTTTTCATACAAAAACTTACACAGGGAAAACTTTAAAAAGGAGAAAGAATGTTTGGATCTCCCCAGTCAATTATTTTCATTCCTAAGAATGACTTCTTGTTTGGTTGCAATATTAGTTGAAACTTTGGATTATTGATCATATATTATAAACCATTTATTTTTTACACTTGGAAAAAAAACCAAAGACCGTTTCAAGGTCAACAGCTGAAGTACAAAGACTGGAGTTCTGTCACTGACTAGCTGTCCTTTCGAATTAATGGAGCCTCTGTCAACAGGAAAGCAAGATGGCACTCCCTTCTCATATCTCCACCAAAGTGAGAGACTTCAACTGCCACACCACCTTCACCAAACACCACTGCTACTATGTTAACAAGGATAATATTTAACATTTTAACATTCTCTGAGAGCAAAGGAGTTATCTGACTAAACTTGGCTTTCATGAATTTTTCCTTTTCCTCTCCCAGCTGCAATGACTCAGAGTCTCAGAAGCAAATACAAGATAGCTTTCCCATAACACAATCTACACCCGGAGCAGCTCCTTGATCCCTTGTCTTCAGTGTCAGGAACTCCCCACCTCTTTCTAGCATCTGCCAGCCTCCAAGCCCACCCAGGAGCCACACAGAGACAGCTGTTTCACGTTCAAGGCTTACACTCTGTCTACTGCCAAAAGCAATTAGCAAGAGGGTAATGGCTACTCAGAACATCTGCACAGTCGCAAGTCAAAGGTTTCAAAATTACTAGTATTTGATGAGACACACTAACATAAATGGCCTTACAAACAAGGGGTTTTCACATCTAGCTTCCAAGTCTGATAGTAAGTTAGTGGCAAAGCATCCCTAATGGCAACACAGAACCCTGAGAGCACCAGGACAGAACTCAACCACACCTCCACAGCGCTGGCTTCATAAAGTTCCCAGTTGACTTCAGCAGAAAAGAACTTGCACAACATGGAAGAAAAACTTTATAAATCTTAACCTCAAAACCACCTCCAGGTTCTCAAAGCAGATAAACCATGGCCCAAGACAATGAGAACGACACAAAACAGCCACCTTAACTAGACTCCCCTGTGCCAGGCTCAAGGGACTTTCACAGGACCACATGAGTGCCATCTCCAGGTGCCCCTCTGCAACAGTGCAGTGCCTTGGCAAAAGGGGTGCTAGACCAAGGTCTACAGAGCTGGAGCCACCCTTCCTGGTTCCCCCACTGACTGCTGACAAGTGGGGAGAGATCAAGGCCAAAAGGAGAGCACTACAGCATCGAAAAGCAGAGGTCTGGGTCCAAGTCCTCCCACAGCTGTGTGTCTCCGGCTGCCCCGTGGGGCTTACAGGTCTTCAGGGACCCTTTGGCCCCAGGACTGGGCAGGCCTGGAGATAGAGGGTCAGAAACCACCTATCCCTCCCACAGCACACATCTGCCTTTACTCCTCCCATCTGATGTACTAAGGAGCAAGTGCGCATGCCACACGGTTCAGGAAGCTGTGACCCAAGAGTGAACAAGGGCATTCTGCCTCCTCAAGGGACATTCTAGAGGGTAGGTAAATTGACCCTAAGTGGGGTATTTAAATCATTGTGGTAAATGCACACTATAGTGAGAGCTTGAAAGGACTGTTCTCTACTGCTCCTGGATGTGTCACTTTGGAAGTGTAAAGAGAGTGCTTGGTGACATTCATGCAGAAACCTGAATTCCATTTTAACCAAACAAACAGGTCTTGGTAACAGGTGTCAAAGTGGGAAATTTTAAGATTCTGATGTCCAGGACACAATTCTGACCAATGAGGGCAGAATATCTAGCAAGGACACCCATCTAACCATCTTTTGTGCAGGTTCACAAATGACCCCACAGTGGTAAATTGACTCTTAGGCAACCACTCTAACTTCCTCTGTTTCAATCCAAATGGGAGGGAGCCCTTGAGTGGACCTCTCCAGCTTTCCCTTCATACTGGGAATCTGAGGGCCTTGTTCAAACTTGAGTTCTGATCCATGTGTCTCTATGGAGCCAGAAATCCTTCTCTAACAAGCCCCAGAAGACACCGATGTCATGATTCATGCCACACCTTGACTGACCATCAGGAACCAGATGACCAACTTCAGAGATCAGGACTTAGAATAGATTCCCAAGTCCTGGTACTCCCCAACTCCCTAATTCTATGAACTAAAAATGTTATTGTACAGACTTGGATAACTTTTTTAAAACTATGCCAGAAAATACAAACAACAAGCACAGTATCTATTAAAAGCACCCAAGAGGAGCAATGCCTACAGATGTTATGTTATATAGGTAAAGAGGCAGTACTGAAAACAACATAATGAGAACATCAGACACAGTTGTTTTAGGGCTAAAATGACAGCCATGTAACGCACAACTACCAATGCAGTAAGTAACAGGACAGAAACTGTCTCCCTCACTGTGTCTTTCCACAGAGTCTAGGTCAGGATGTTATACACAGGCACTTTAGTCAGATGCACACATAGTCTTTGGATAAATTAATAAAATTAAAACACTATACAGTAAGTGACTAAAGGCCTTGAAAGAGAAGTGACAAGAGGAAAGCTCTTTACAGCCTTTGGAGTAAACACCGAGAATGTTAAAGCTGACTAAGGGTCCACAAAGCTTATTAAATCAAAGGGGACAGCAGCTATATTAAATGCAGTAAGCCACTGTCCCAATTACAAGTGATACATTAAACATTTTTGTCACCTACTCTATCAAGACTTGGATTGATTCTTGAAAACCCAGTCACTGCTCATAAGTAATAGATTAAACAGAGTAACGGCTAGCATGTCTCTGGTCTCGCAGAGCATTCCAGGCATAGTATCTCAGGAGTAAGGCCAGGTAAGTCATCACCCATGTTAGTAAGCTCAAGCACCATCGATATCTACATAAGCACATGCCAACCTCCCAAACAGTGTCCCTGTGTCCCTCCTCTCCATCCCCTTCTATTCTATGGCAGAGACTCCCTCTGCACTGAGACAGATGAGATGGTACAGACTCATGCCCAGACACTCGAGGAGCCAGGTCACAAGAGGCTCACTCCTGCTCTCCCTCCCCTGCTGAGGAACTGACTACAAAGCCATTCCTGACTGCAGCAGAGAAAGGGCCCAGAAAAAAGAAACAGGCTCAGGACCCAGTAGCAATCTCAGAATAATGCCAACTGTAAACTGTCGTTAATTGCAGAAGGCTCACTCCTTTCAGAAATGTCTTCAAATAACCTAAAATGCCACCTTTAATCCCTAGGTTACTCTCCATCTAAAGCCAATTAGCAGTTTTTCTTCCCTGATAAACATTTTCTAACATACTCAAAATCTGATTGTATATCAAGGGCATCCTTGAAGGGACGTCTGTCTAGCCTGTTCATTCCATTATCTGAAGTGCTTCATTCAAAGTCTGCCACAACGAAGTAGTTCAGGTATTTGTAGCATTTGTAAGTGATCACCATTTCCAAGAGTTCATGTAAAGGAAAGCATAATGCACTGGTCTTTACTTAAGGCCTTCTGCCTCCGCTAACATAGCCCTGCCACACCCTACCCTGCAGTTCCCAGACACTGCTCTGAGGTACTGGCTCTTGGCACTCCTGACCCACATAGCAGCAGATCACTAGCCATGAGGTCTCAGTCCAGCAATGTTGTGGGTATTTTTTAGAACAAGTCATGTCTCTTTATTCATTCAAGAAACTGGGAAAAATGAATTGTCACAGACACTAAGAGCCAATATTAAATTTTTGGCTACAATACAAGCATGCTAAATAAGAAAGTGCAAGGTCTGTCAAAAGACACACTTTGGAGACACTCCATGAAACCAGGTTAATGACATCTGAGACTGAAAAACCAACACAAGATGCTTTATCCTTTTCCTGTACTACAAAGGTCAATGGAGGGGGGGGGCGGGTCTGTATGTGGGACAGCGCAAAAATACTCATCTATCTCACCACCTTTCACAAAGTCTGAAAGGGCTACAGTTCTACAGAACCCTCACAACACTCCGCAAGGGCAGAGACAAAACCAAGACAAACACTTGCACCACGGAAGGGGCAAGTCTAGATGACAGCTCTTCCCTTCTCCCAGCAGGCAAAATACACCAATGAGCACCAGCAGCTAAGGGAGCTGGAGAACTGAAGTCAGGCTATCCAACAGAGCTGGATTCAAAGGCAGACGTCCAGGACAGAGCACAGCAAAGCTGCAGACCTGAGCGCCTTCTCAGAACTAGCTTTAGAATGCATCCAGAGA